GCAAGTCCTTGTGAACAACGTCTGGGCGCGAAAACAACTGCTTCCGTTTTATATAAGCGCGGCTGTGCATTGTCCGCCGCAATAATTCGGTTTCCTGAATCCCTGGCTTATGAACTGCAAGTCTCGCGATTGGTATTCATTGTCCCTAACAGACTTCGAACTGATTTTACGTGCTCTAAACATTTTACAGCACACAGTGAGAGTAACTCAAAGCAGCGCTGTCGCATACAGCACTCATAAATGTGACCTTTGGCTTTACAATAGGACTACTAGTTTGATTTAAAAAAATAGACTCAAAAAGAAAACAGCCTATTTTAAAGAGTTACAACCCACTGTAATAAGATATCATGCGGAATAGCAATTTGTCACAATTCTGCACACTGCGAGTGCTTGGTCCGAATAAATGTATACAGTAAGCAGAACATGAAACTAGAACTCAGCATTCACACAAAGCAAAAAAGTGATGTCTTCATTTTCGCCGTCGTTGACGCAGGTGCTGGACTTCTCGTTCTACAAGTGAATTGTTGACATGTTCTCTTAGTACAGCCTCCTTTGAATACCACCATAAAGCGCCCGCACGTGTCGGTGCTAAGGTGTCCACCCTGCGCTCAGCTACGACCAGTTCGAAAAGACGTTTTAGTTCAGTCTCCACCTCAGACTTTCTCACAATTGATGCCTCTCTTGACGGCGTTGCAAGAGAGATATCTACATTACAATCGAGCTGGGCCAAAAGGTCAGCAAGCTGATGGAATTCGGCCGCTTTTTGAGAATAGAATTCGTCTTTCTTAATAGCCAGAGTCCTTTTCAGCTGCGCTAGTTTGGCAATGCGGCGCTAAAATGTTAAAGGCAGAAATCGGATATTTCAGAACGTAACCATATATGAACTGGACGTAAACATAGTGCAATGTTAGAATCAAATGAAATACCTGATAGCACTCCTCTTTAACGTTCTCCTTCCTAGATTCCTGGTCAGTATCGGTCGGCAAATTGTAAGAATCAATGTGCTTCACATCACTTATTTGTAAAACTTCAATTGCCTTCTTGTAACCGGTCATATTCAGCGCCCTGAGTCGCCTAAGGAGCCGCATGCGACGTTGGACCAGCGATTCTGTGATTCCTCTTAAGGGCAGAGTCTTCAGAGATTACGAAATGGCGTGAGCTAACCCGAGGATACTTCTGTAAGATGGCCTTGTAGTACCATAGTTGAAAAGACATTCTAAGGACTGGAAGATAGAGCGATCACTGAACCTACCTCTACCAAGTAAAGAATCATCGGCAGGATGCAGTTCCAGGCTCTTCATAAAATCCCCAAGTTGATTATAATAGTCAGCAGACTAAAGCTATATCAATAAATAAATTATAAAACCAATTTTTGAAATCCCCAGGTGAACGCTACAGATTGCTGTGGTGAAAGTCTTCGCAGGTATGTTACTAATCAAGAGGGTTACCTGTCAAACATTTCAAATGCCTCAACACACGGAACGATTTTCGATTTCGGTGACGACTCAAATCTTTTATATTCCCCTAGAGTGTGTTTCATGTAGTGTTAAAAATAAAGTACAGTCAAAATCAAAATGTGGAGGGTTTTTCCGAGGCATTTTTTCAGGTTTATTCCGTTGGAGTCGACTGTACCAATAGCCCGAGTAAGAGCAGCTCAAATCTTCACATAAAAATAAGTTTTTCTCTTACGCAATGCTGAGCTGAAGCATAAACAAACTCTGGGAGCTGTC